CTCACGAAACCAATCAATCAAACTTTTTGTCATTTTCATCTTCCCAGAAAATTTCCGGGAAGGGGGAATTATAAGAAAAGAATCTCCCCAGACACAGGGCGTAGGGTGCTGTGGTGCTGTAGGGTGCTCTCCGTTTCGTTGTGTCCGACTCTTGTGCTCCTTTGTGTGGTGGTTCGTTCGGTTTTGCACTTGCCTACATTCCGCGTCGCTTCGCGTCGCGTCGTCCCCCATTTGTCTCGTTGACCGCAATTCATTTTTTTTCTCGTTTCTGTTGTGACAATTTCTGCGTAAAACATAATACTACAATATTGTACATGCGAGTACCAGTACCCGGTACACACCGCGCACTCGTGTAGCCAGCCAGGTCAGATCTTTGTTGTTTGCTGTTTCTTGTTTCTTGTCGGGCTGGTGGGAAGGTTACAGAGTCATTTCGAGTGTGCTGGCTTCCAAATGGGTTTTTAATAACGGACCTTGGCGGGGCGCGGTCCATGTACGAAATAATTTTCGCTCACAGATAAAAGTAATACATTGATTGTATGGCTTAGAAAACGGGTTATGAAATTTCAGTTTTCAGTTTTCCTTGGGGCTATTTATAGACTGTCGCGTGTGGTCATTGCTGAGTTCGCGATATTCAGGAACAATGTAATTTGTAATATCTGGTGTTATTATTCAGGTATAATATGTCTAACGTTGAATACTTTATCAAGAGGATTCAGTTTACACATGTACGTACGTACCTGTAAGCAAATGCCGTCGAGCATAATTGTCTGCTTCTGCTTTGGTTTGTTGTTCTGTTCTCCCTCTCCATAAGCTCTCTCTCCCGCTGAAGCTTGCGCTCTGTTTTATCTCTCATCGCCGTTGCGTTTGATCTGAGCTTTCGGCTGATGCTGCTGCAACAAAGTTCCGACTACAAACAAGGTGATATATTCGATATCCTCCTCTAAACAATTTGAATGCACGTTCACTTGTGAATTTGTTATGGTTTATACTACTTTCCCAGCTACCACTTCGCGAGGCAATCAGCCAAGCGTTCAGCCACCAAAAACTTGTTTCCCTTTGGGACATTTCAATTTAAAAATAAATTAAAATGTATTTTCTTTTTTAACAGAAATAGAAATGCAAATTTTGTATTAATACATATCCAAATTCAATGAAATAAACATTTATTTAAAATGCAAATTTCCTTAAAATTGGTTTCGTTTGGGGATTTATTTCCTGCTCCACTTCGAATTAGCTTTTATTTGAGGTATCCTACCTTTGGTGTTAATTTTCAGAGGTGATTCCCCCTATTCCATTCCATTCCCCATTCATCCGGGAGTCCCTTATTAGCCATTCAAATTTTTGCTTTTGGCTTTCTTTCTCTCCATTGCCTTCGCCTTCGCCCTGGCCGCTCTTTAGCCAGCGTTTATCGCCGTTTTTTACTTTGGGCAAGTTATGTATTAGATCATTATCTGTATTTGGTTTTCTGACGAAATTCCGCATTGTCTGCAGTCCAACAACAGCAACAACAACAACACCAGCGAAAACGAAACAAAACTTCAGCTGCTCTGCGCTCTCCGGCTGGCAACAATACAAAAACCGAAAGCAAAAAGTGGAAGGAAAGAGTTTAGCACTGGGATCGGATCGGATCGTATCGGGCCGGAGGGCCGGGCCGGCCTCTGAAAAGTGCCAGGCCGGCTGATAAACATGCACGCCGCTGCAGAGAGCCCCGACCGACAGGCCGTCAGACCGTCAGAGCTCCAGGAGACAGCGGAGTGGAGTCGTCATCCTGTGACTCATGGGACTACCTAAACTGCGTTCTGCTGCTTCTGTCTTCTGTCCTCTGGCCCCTGCCTCGAGTCTCGTACGATCCCTTGCGGGCTTTTATCTGCTGTTTCAGTTTTGTATTTCCATTGAAAAAATGTTGTTAGCTGACTTGGCTGTCGCCTCATGCGGGCCTCTTGGAATCAGAAGTTGAATCTTGAGTTCAAGTCGCTGGCTTTTTCTGTATTTCATCATAGTCGTAAATATACACATAATAATGGTTGGATCACTCACTAGCGGTGCTCCCCGTCTCTCTCTCTCCCTATCTCTCTGTCTCTGTCTGTTGGTGGTTAGATATTTAATCATTCGTTGTATGACATGCACACTGATTACTCACTCGATTAAGTCGATTCATCTGAAATCGATTGCAGCACGTGCCCCGCCGCGAACTGTACTTCTATGTTAAGTACGAGTGCCGTTAGACAGCGCTGCTAACGGTGAATACAAATCGAATTATAAACAGACAGACACTCCATAATTTCAACGGAACGGGGGCCCCCACTTCCACGTAAATAATTTCATTTATAATTTGAATTCTCGTTAAAAGGCTGCCAATTTTGACTGTTTCAGCCAGCCCCCTGCCCCGTTCCCGTCTCAGACCCGCTTTTGGGCTCGCATTTCCCGGAAGTTGGGCTTTGACTTTGTGGATCGTTTGCTTTGATATTTCTCGGTTTGTTTCGGCTTGTCGTTTCGGGAAAACTTGTGGAAATGTATGCACTGTTAATTGCCTGGATTGTGGCAGTGTTTCAGCGTTCCAGGGTTCCAGCGTTTCAGCGCTTCGCTGTTCGAGCGTTTGAGTGTTTGATTAGGCACAGCACAAGTAGAAATATTACTCGTTAAGTGATTAACTTGAGTGCTCTTTTCGGTTAGAGGGAATTCCAGGGAAAACATTATAGCAGCTTGTGTGCTTTCCGATAGACGGTAGGCTGCAGGGGGGCCCAGAGAGTGCAGTGCGGAGCATGTGCGAGGAAAAGTGATAATCATAATAATAATAATCATAGTTCCGATGAATTTTCGGAATCTATATTGGCACGGGAATTCTACAAAACTGTGCGATTGCAGCTATAAAAACACTATTCGTGTTCGTATTCACATTCGTATTCGGGGAACTGATAAACCCGAATTTCCGTTTAAGCCATGCTCTTGATTGTACAGGTAACGTGTTGTTTATAATTTTTAAAAATAATAATCGCCATCAAGTGATTACAATCTTTACGGAGGAAATTCCGTTTTATTTATGACCAAAATAGAGGTTACTTCGGGGTTATTTATTCGATGTTGTACTGCGACAAATTTCAATTTATTAATTTCCAACTTGAGAGACAGATTGGCGTTGTATTCCCTAGAAAGAACTGATTAAAAGTTATCTCCAATCATATTTTTTTGAGTACTGTATAATTATAAACGCCTGCCGCACTGCGACAGTGAGATATTATGTGGGAGATTCCTATACGTAAAGACTATTAATTAGGGATCTCCCGGGCCCTATATGTCATCCGTTTTGAGGCTCTTGCTATCTGCCATGCGACGTCTTTCTTTTAATTTCGTTAATTGGCAGGGATTCCCTTAAGATTTTAATTATTCTAGACTATCAACAAGGTTCATTAAACTCATCAAAGAGGTCAAGTGAATTAATGAATCTTTAGGATTTGTATATAGTATTCTTAAGTGCAATGATCATTCTTTCAATGATCATCCTTCTCGATATGGTATTTGGGGACTTCCCTCTCTAGGAAGTAAATGTAAAGAACTTTCGTGACTGATCGCCTATCGATCAATCAGTTGTGCAATCAGCTGATCGGTGATCTAGTTATTTCACCATCGAACAACTCAATTAACGCAGAACGACCGGCCGCAGAGCTCCAGTTGGGCAAACCACAAGAGTTTCTACGAATAGCAGACGAAAGGGTAGGACAGTGGATGGATGTGGCCGTGGGTGACTCATTAACCTGTGCTTTGGCCCCGTTGTCATGTCGAATTCCTGCCCCTGCACCATTCTTTCCTAACACCACACTTAGGGCGGAAGATGACGCATCTTCTTAGTGGTTAAATTACGAGTAAGTGGGGGGCGATAAGGATTCCGATTTTGGCTAGTGCGAAAGTAATTACTCAGAAGCGAAGGCAGACAGATTGGAATTGCAAATGGGACAGGCCCACATTTTGTGGTTGTGATTGAATTGAGTTATCAGTGAATAATATTAACAATTTCTCATGAATGGGGGCTTACTGTTTCGCTCCGTGTGGTGTGTGGTGTGTGGTGTGTGTGCTGTGGCCAGGCCAGGCCAGGGTTCCGTTTCGTTTCGTTTCATTTCGTTTTCTTTGTCGATTATGGGGTTTCCAATTTCCATACAGATGATAAGCCGCATTGACCTAGAAGTCAGACGGGTTTGATGGTGGTGCTGGTGGTGCTGGGGGGGTCGAAGCACATGTGTGAGTGTGTGTGTGGAGTGCTAGGGACGGGGGCAGGGCAGGGCATGCCTATAAATAGGATGAGCATATTACTTCTTGGGAGAACTGATGCGTGGGATTGGTATGCCATTGTTTATCAGCAGCATCATCATCATCATGATGAAGATCTCTCTCTGGTTTCGCTCGTCGCGCCGCCTCGGATGAGTCAGTTCGTGGGGGAGCAAGAGTACATGGTCTTTGAGAGGGCATGTGCTGGTCTTCGGGGTGGGGGTGGGGGTGGGACTGCATTCAATTGCCCATTTGACCGTAGATTGCTTCGCTGGAGACCCCCAGGAGCAGCCCTCCCTCCCTGTACACATATCCCAACTTATCTCTCCACTAAGCAACTAATTAAGTCGGGAATGAGGATTGAGGATGGGGTAATGGGTGAAGCCCCCACCATGTCTGGGAAGATTGCTGTAGGTCAAGACATTTCACACGCTGCCGGAGAAGAGGAACGGGCAAAACTGGTTCCCTCGACTCTCGGCGACTACTATTTCTGGAAGTTGCGAAACGATTGTGTGAGTGTGCGAGTGTGTGGTGTTTGTGTGCTCAGACTGTAAATATTAAAAATGTGCTAACTCCCGAGTAAAATATAATCTGATCTGTACATAGAAACAGCAGCAGTAATAAAGATAAGCCCTATCCCGGAATAGACTTGTTGCAGCATGAAAAAACCCTTTATAATCCCAAGAATATCCCACAATAAAGTCTAATCAGATATCACCTCTATTCCCTCCGCTTTGCAGATCGAAAGAACAGAGAAGACTCTCCACAGAGCGGACAGACAGAGCTTCCAATGGGTCATCACTTCAGCAAGCCAACTGTACGCGTTGCCAGTCAGGACAAGAACAACTCCAGCAATACCCAACAGAAGAGACTCGAGGAAGTGGAAGTGGAAGACGAAGCAATCAGCCTGGCAGAGGAACAGCCCCAGCAGGTGCAACTAGTGGAGGAAATCGTAGCACAAACGGACGCCGCCAGCTCGGAAGTGCGTCAAATCATAATCAAAATTCAATTGGCCAAAATGGAGAATGGCAATGGTGGTCAGGTGCTCCACGAGGAGGAGGAGGTGCAAGGTATCGCCGTCGCTGCCGCCGCCCTGTCTGCGGACACGCTAAATGCAAATGAACAGCAGATTGTGGTGGAGGCGAGGGCGCTGGCGAGTTCCGGAGGCGGACTTGGGCTCGGAGTCGGTGTTGGTGTCGGATCGGTTGCGGTGTCAAATCGAACTGCTGGCAGTTCAACGGAAGCGCCAAAAACCGAGAGACAACAGCTCGTGAATAACAACAATTTAGCGGGAAGTGGTGTCGGAGTCGGGAACATTGTGGCTGAGGCAGCGATAAGTACGCTACAATTGAACGACGTCCACGACGCCGACGCTGACGCTAACGCTGCTGCTGATGATGATGATGATGATGATGATGTGGATGAGTCGCTGCTGCGTCGGCGTCACCAGCACAGCCACGAGGCCGAAGTCGTTGAGTACTGCGAGGTGCTCGAGTCGCTGCCAGTCAGCGAAATGTTGTCGACGGGAGCACAACACATCGGCCCTAGCGTCAGCAATAGCAACAGAAACAGCAAGCAAGGTGAGGAAGCAACTCATATAATGACAGCCCCACAGATTACTCATTAGGCAATGTTTATTTCTTTTTCGATTTTCTTGGAACAGCTCCTAGAGGGAGTGCCGCCAGCGGAAACAGTTGCTGTCGGAGTCGCAGCAGCAAAGCCCTGTCCATGGGGGCAACAGAATCCACGGCCGCAGCAGCGGCAGCGGCAGCAGCAGCAGCAGCACCAACCAGCTCCAAGCGACGCTGCTGCAAGTGCAAGTGCCGGGACGCCCTGAGGGGCTTCAGAGATATGCTCGACTCCAGCAAGGATAAGAAGGAAAGCAGCACATCATCGTCATCCTCCGCGGTGACCAGCAGGAAATCTCGCACGGCAGATCGCCGGTCGACGCCACCCACTCTCAGTGGGGCCAGCGGAAGCGGCTTGGGGATTCCCCAGCAGCGGCTGCAGACACAGAGGAAACGGAACTCCGTGGCGGTGCCAGAGCCAAGTCAGTTGGCGATTTGGACAGCCCCGGCGAATGGTGATGTCATCATCCGAATCAGCTCGCCGCAGTTTGTGGTGGAGTCACCCAATGCCCGGGTAACAGTGGGCCCCAACATTCGTCTGGTCACGGAGCCGGCGCCGGCACCGCTTCTCCCACACCTGCAGCAGCAGCAGCTGGATCCGCAGCAGGGTCCTCCAGTGCGTCTCACCTATGGCCGTCGCAGCGTGACCGTGCATTCGCAGATAGACTTTATGCATTGCCTGGTCCCCGATCTGGAGCGGATCATCAACAGCAGCTTCTACTGGGGCAAGATGGACCGCTATGAGGCGGAGCATCTGCTCGAGGGCAAGCCCGAGGGCACTTTCCTGCTGCGCGACTCGGCCCAGGAGGAGTTCCTCTTCTCAGTTACATTCCGCAAATATGGAAGATCGTTGCACGCGCGCATCGAGCAGAGTGGCCACAAGTTTAGGTAAGTCCTGACAAGTCTCCTTTCTTGCAAAACGAACTCCCAACTAATTGAGGTTTTCCCTTTCAATAGCTTCGACTGTCATGATCCGTGCGTGTTTACCGCGCCCACTGTGACGGGCCTGCTGGAGCACTACAAGGACCCATCCTGCGTGATGTTCTTCGAACCCTGCCTGACCATGCCGCTGCATAGGAGACAGACCTTCTCGCTGCAGCAGCTGGCGCGAGCCACGATCGTCTCGAGCACCAGCTACGATGGCATCAATCAGCTGGAGCTGCCGGGGCCACTGAAGAGCTACCTCAAGGAGTACCACTACAAGCAGAAGCTGCGCGTCAAGCCCTGCGATGCCCACACACCGGCACCGTTCTACGGCAACGTATAGTCCGCGGCCCATTCGGCTCATCCGGCAAACCAGCAGCCGATGGGCTTCTTCTACTACGAGGAAGTGGACAGCGACGATGACGATGAGGGTGTCAACATCGTGCACCTGTCCTATGTGCAGCCCGATGAGGAGGTGGTCCGATTGCAGGACAGCAGGCAGGCTGCAACCAGCGGAAGGCGGCCTCATCGAGCTGTCTCATCGAATCTACAAGAGCAGCTGTGCCGGCTGCCCCATCGCATGGCCGTTGCCTTGGGCCGGATGTCGTCGAATCTAAACTGTTATCAGCCCATGGCAACGCTGCAGCGCAGCAAGCGCAACGCCTGATGCAACGCAGCAAGAATTAAAACCAAAACTCAACTAGAGACAATCCCAGTGCATCGTGTGCCGCCACCATAAAGGTATAGGAAAACTATACGGAAAAAGCCTCCAAAAAACAAAAAGTGTGGAATCAAAATCAAATCTAATTAATTGTACTATTACTAAGTATTATCGCTTAATGCAATTCCTCCCCTACCCAAACCCTACCCCTACCTCCACTCTCCTATGATAAGTATTGCTAGGAAAACTCGATCTGCATTTTGTTTTCCCGCAAGGAAAAGTATTTCTCGTAATATTTCGATGTATAGTACGTATTTATTTCAAAACCATTAACTGTAATTTATGGAATCTAAATTATGTGTAAATATGAACAGTTGTATCTACATATATCAATACTATATATAGTAGATCGGATGCGTATATGAAATACAAAATAGTTAGTGTAAAAACTCTCTCTCATTAGCCAAATTTCAAATAATTTCATTTATTTATATGTATTTATGTATGTCCGCTCGTACATATACATTGTATTTATTTATTCAAAGAAGTTTTCCGCATACATATAAAGGAAAACCGTTCGATTGTACATATTCTGGATCTTCGTATTAGCTATAGTTAAGCAATATCCAATATACAAATATACAAGATGCAAGATAAAAGATACATGTATTCCTAATTAGGTGGTTGCTGTTATTCGTAAACATTCAGTAAGCAGTTGTTTCCAAGACCCTAACATATTTTACATATCCAAAACTGTTGATGAGCATGAGTATCCCCGAAAATACAAAAAGCCAAAACAAATAAAGTTGATGATCAAATTTAGCAATGAATTCAAATATGTTTGTTTTTTCTTTCAAATGGGGTTCAATGGAGAGGCTCGAGGTCTCTTTGCACTTTCTACATACCATACCTTGTGGATCCATGGATCATTTTGACACCTCTACAATCTACCCGCAGCGGTAGAGAGCATGCATGGAAAATGGGAATTTATAGAAAGGCTGAATATATATACTCCTTCGCAGTATATCCTTTATAAAAAGAAGTAGAATTCAATATAAAGGACTAGACATTATTTAATTTCAATTACACTAGATATTTACGACACTAATGGCATATTTTAGCAAAGGCTAAGACTAAGCAGTCTCAGTCTGGTTTTCCTCTGGGTTCGGCAACGACGCAATGGCTATTTAGAAACACTAGGATGGTACTATGTTGCCCCTTTGCTGGTTTTTTCAAACCGATCGAATTATGCTTTGGTTAAGGGAATGTTATGGTTACCCTTTATTAGCTAGCAACGGCGCTTGGTGCTTTTCTGCTGGATATCAAAGATAAACGTAAGAATATAAAGAATTTTTTTGACCGTGATTGCTGCTTACCATTTTGCGGTATCTCTCCTTCTGCTGTTTGTTTAGTCGACACCAAGCCTTAGTACCACGCATGACCATCTCTCGCGGCAGGAGTCCGCTATTTTTTTTCTTGAAATTTCGTAAAAAGTTTAAATAGGCTTTATTGGTGAGGCGGGCGACCTTTTTTGGCTTGTAAGTTTCTTTCTTTGAGCACTTTTTAGCTTCCACCATTTCCAAAAATTCTCAATACAAAAGTATAGTAATAAAAACTTTAGAGTGTACGCTTTTTCAAAATACGACTGTGATACACACATTTCGTATTTTTGGGGGAACTAGTAGCGATATTCCGCGTTTCAATCATCCTTCAGGAAACCCATGGACAATTTGGCAATCGAGGATGCTTAAATTTACGGACAGGCGACAGGACATCCGTGGAAACGATTGGATTTACCAGACCTAATACCTAAGACACATATACCTAATCACCATTGTCCTTGCTTCTTCCACATGCCTAGCATTTGAATTAAATTATTTCACCCGCTAAACAAGTGTGCAGTGATGGGCAACGCTAAAATTGGCATCGCAATATATTGGTCCGAAAAATATCATTATCACTATCGAGATTTTTTTTATAAATACATATGTATGCTGTTTATATGTAGCAAGTGTGTAGTTACCATGTACAAAAAAATACATTTTTGTTCACCTTCTTTGTTTAAACCCAATTAGCCAGTATTGTAGAAAATTCGTCGTCATATTTACGGTATATTTCTGGGGCTCTCTTCAAAAATGTTATGGCTCTCTGTTTTGATCTCCTTGAATGGGAGTCTGCAGAAATGTTTAGAATCGAGGAAATGTTTAGACATTATTTTAGACACACTACAAAACAAAGAGAGATTAAAATAAGCATATCCTGTAGAAAATTGATTCATCAATTGGGTAAAATTATGTGATCAGGGCTAAACGTTCTAGCTAGCTAATAATATTTGACGGAACATCAAATTGAGCAATAAAGAACTTGAATTCGTCAGTATATTTACGGTATATTTTGAAAATGAGACTGTATATTTCGGTATACTTCTGAGGGGCAGACCGTATATTGTATCAATACATCCGCGGTCACACTGTAGAACTTATTTGTTAATTATTGTACATTTTTTTGTTAGCGCGCGTGCTGTGAACGACGCCGCTGAATGATAGCTCTGAGTGCATTGTTAACCAAGTACACGATCGGTATTATGAGCAATCTAAGCAATGGCAATCCTCAACAGCAACAGAACCAGCAACAGCAGCAGCCACCAAATGCAGCAGCTGCAGCAGCAGGCCAGGGGAATGCTGTGGGTGGGGGCGCGGGTGTGGGCATAGAGCTGCCAGCTCCTGCTCCGCCAGGACTGGGGGCTGCCGTGGGCGTGGTGGCAGTCCAGCGGCAACGTCTGCTGCAGCAGGCGCAACAGAACACCGCTGCCGAGGGCAGTGGCCTGGAACGAGGAAGCTGCCTGCTCCGCTATGCTTCGCAAAACTCCCTGGACGAGAGCTCCCAGAAGCACGTCCAGCGGCCCAACGGCAAGGAGCGCGGCACAGTGGGACAATACAGCAACGAGCAGCACACAACCCGCTCCTTCGATGCCATGAACGAGATGCGCAAGTAAGAAAAACTACCAAGTGATGTGGACAGGTGGATTAGTCGCTTGACTTTTGGCCCAAAATCTAAAAAATATGTACATATAATCACTGCAAATGTCAGACGATCGTCTCGGCATCCCATCCCATCCCATCCCATTCACATTCCTACTCGCATTCGCATTTTGCATATTTGCGCAGTTGATTTCTGTTTGTCTATTTGCCTACACATATTTATTTTGTATAATATTTGCCCCCACCTTTTGTCAAGGGGCCATTCGCATTATTATTATTATTATTATAATGGGTTGTATGCGCTGCTTTTTGGTTTCGCATTAGAGCACGACCTTGAACTTGCGGCGTATTGCCCAACGATTTCTGTCGATTTGTTGTGGTTACGGCTTCCGCATCTCTACATTTGGTTGACTGGAAAACTACCCGATGGCCAGAAACCCAGAAACCAGTTTCCAAACCAAATCCACTGTGGTGTCAGAGCCAAAAGTGAATGTGTTGTAACCTTAAGGTGAACGAACACGTGTTGAGCGTAGGATTTAAGCGGAGGACACTGGGATTCAGATGAATCTGCATGTACATATAGGAAAGAGAATCAGCATGACTCTTGAGAAAATGTTTAGAATCATTCCCAAGGAATGCAGGAAAAAGAGGATTCAATTCAGCAGAAAACGGGAAGATAAACAGAAATCTGACAACATCATTGGTGCAGGAAGAGACACAGAGAATGAAGGCTTCACCAAGATCAGTTTCATTTAAAAAAGTGTAAATAAACATCTGGCTTTACTCCAAACAAAAAATAGCGATATCATTCGTATTGATTAAACCACTTGACACCTAATAATGCTCACGGTTTCTTTGTGTCTTTGCTTATTTTGCTTATTCGCAGACAAAAACAACTCTGTGATGTCATATTGGTGGCCGATGATGTAGAGATTCATGCCCATCGCATGGTATTGGCCTCGTGCAGTCCCTACTTCTATGCGATGTTCACCAGCTTCGAGGAGTCGCGTCAGGCGAGGATCACACTACAGAGCGTGGATGCACGAGCACTGGAATTGCTCATCAATTATGTGTACACCTCGACGGTGGAGGTGAACGAGGATAACGTGCAGGTCCTGCTGACGGCAGCCAATCTGCTGCAGCTCACGGATGTGCGGGATGCCTGTTGTGATTACCTGCAGACGCAATTGGATGCCAGCAATTGTCTGGGCATACGCGAGTTTGCCGATCTTCATGCCTGCGTGGAGCTGCTCAACTACGCGGAGACCTACATCGAAGAGCATTTCAAGTGAGTTTCAAGATTATGTTTCATGTCGGAAATATGGAACTATAGAGCAAGCAATCACAGACAGACGAGATGCGATAAGGTTTGGCACGTTACCGAATGAATGCTCCTTGAGATTTTGTGCAAAAACAGAGTAAAGGTCAGCCCTATATTTAGTCGTTTTGAAACCAGTTTAGATTTCTTTATATGTTTCATTAAGTGTAAGAGATTGACCGGTTTATTATATTTGCCATTAATTGCATCTCAATCCCATATTCCGCCGCTGAACATTTATGCCCCAATTCACCGACTGTTTTATTTACGTTTTGCCTTTGCATTTGCCTTTTCTGCAGCGATGTGATCCAGTTCGATGAGTTTCTGAATCTCTCGCACGAGCAGGTTATCAACCTGATAGGAAACGATCGCATTTCGGTGCCCAATGAGGAGCGCGTCTACGAGTGTGTGATCGCCTGGCTGCGCTACGATGTGCCCATGCGGGAGCAGTTCACCTCGGCTCTGATGGAGCATGTGCGCCTGCCGTTCCTGTCCAAGGAGTACATTACCCAGCGCGTGGACAAGGAACTGCTGCTGGAGGGTAATATCATATGCAAGAATCTGATCATAGAGGCCCTCACCTACCACCTGCTGCCCACGGAGACGAAGTCGGCTCGCACAGTGCCTCGAAAGACGGTGGGCATGCCGAAGATCTTGTTGGTGATTGGCGGTCAGGCCCCCAAGGCCATACGCGCCGTCGAGTGGTACGATCTGCGCGATGAGAAGTGGTACCAGGCTGCCGAGATGCCCAATCGTCGCTGCCGCTCCGGATTGAGCGTGCTGGGCGATAAGGTCTATGCCGTGGGTGGCTTCAACGGCGCACTGCGGGTCCGCACTGTGGATGTCTACGATCCGGCCACCGATCACTGGGCCAGCTGCTGCAACATGGAGGCTAGGCGATCTACGCTGGGCGTGGCTGTGCTGAACGGCTGCATCTTTGCCGTGGGCGGATTCGACGGCACCACCGGACTCTCCAGCGCCGAGATGTACGACCCAAAGACTGATATCTGGCGATTCATCGCCTCCATGTCCACGCGTCGCAGTTCCGTGGGTGTGGGCGTCGTTCATGGCCTGCTCTATGCCGTTGGCGGCTACGATGGCTTCTCCCGCCAGTGTTTGTCCTCCGTGGAGCGTTACAATCCCGACACAGACACCTGGTCTGCCATCGCCGAGATGACTTCCCGTCGCAGTGGAGCTGGCGTGGGAGTGCTGAACAACATCCTGTACGCGGTGGGGGGACACGATGGCCCCATGGTCCGCAAATCCGTTGAGGCCTACGACTGCGAGACGAACACCTGGAGCTCTGTGTCGGACATGTCCTACTGTCGCCGCAACGCCGGAGTGGTGGCCCACGAGGGGCTGCTCTATGTGGTCGGTGGCGATGATGGAACCTCCAATTTGGCCTCCGTGGAGGTGTACTGCCCGGAGTCGGACAGCTGGCGGATCCTGCCCGCTTTGATGACCATTGGACGCAGTTATGCGGGCGTCTGTATGATCGATAAGCCCATGTGAATGGAAGAGCAGGGTGCATTGGCACGGTGAGTGAGCCCATCTAATTTGAACGAATTTTGAGTCCTGAACTTGAGTCTAATTTTGCGTTTGATTACAGACAAGCGGCTTCGCTGGCCATCGCACTGCTGGATGATGAAAATAGCCAGGCTGAGGGGACCATGGAGGGTGCCATTGGTGGGGCCATTTATGGCAATATCCCACCAGTTGGAGCGGCTGCTGCAGCAGCTCCAGTCCAGCCATCGGCGGCCCCTCAGCCCCCAAATCATCCGCACTACGAGAACATCTATGCGCCAATCGGTCAGCCCAACAACAATCAAATTGTGGCCGCCGCCAACGTCAATGCCCCTGCAAATGTTGAGGATGCTCAACAGCCACTCCAGCTGGCAGCCCAACCAGCGCCAACAGAAGCCAATGCCAACATTAATCCACCCCCACAACCAGGACCCTCACCACCATCGCCACAGCCACAGCCACAACCACAGCAGCTAGCACCAACGCCACAGCAACGCGCACTGCCCATGAACAACTATCGCAATGATTTATACGATCGATCTATAGCTGGTGCCGGGATCCTGGGCGCGAGCGCCGCTGCGGCTGCCTACGATGTGCCGCGTGCAGTGCGCTCAGGCCTGGGATACCGTCGAAACTTTCGCATAGATATGCAGAATGGTAAGAAGCAGCTTCAGGTAAATCTAGAAGAGAGAGAGTATACAATGTTTTCATATCCGCCCTAGGCAATCGCTATGGAACCGGACTGCGTTGCACGCCGCTCTACACCAACAGTCGCTCGAATTGTCAGCGTCAGCGCAGCTTCGACGACACCGAATCCACCGATGGCTACAATCTACCCTATGCCGCAGCCGGAACAATGCGCTATGAGAATATCTACGAACAGATACGCGATGAGCCCATCTATCGACCCACTGCCACCAACCGAGTGCCGCTATATACACGCCTCGATGTACTGGGGCATGGCATAGGACGAATCGAACGACACCTGAGCTCCTCCTGCGGCAACATTGATCACTATAATCTGGGCGGCCACTACGCCGTGCTGGGACACTCGCATTACGGAACCGTTGGTCACATACGACTCAATGCCAATGGGGCAGGAGGCACGGCCGCGAGTGGAGGAGGAAGCAGCACTTGCAACGTGCCCAACTGCCAGGCGTATGTGGGGAGTGCTAGTGCCGCTGCTGCAGCGGCCGCAGCCGCTGGAATGGAATACGGCAATGTAAAGGTTCCCGTTAAGAACAGCGCCTCGAGTTTCTTTAGCTGCCTGCACGGCGAGAATTCGCAGAGCATGACCAACATTTACAAGACGACAGCAGCGGCAATGGCTGCCCACAACTCTCCGCTCACGCCGAATGTGTCAATGGAGCGTGCGGCACGGTCTGCCTCCGCTGGAGCCGCAGGAGCAGTCGTAGACGATCAATCTGTGCCGGAAAGCGCTTCCAGTTCATCAGTAAGCAGTGCCACTCGCCCAACCGGAGCTATACCCAAGGTGAAGGCTGCCAGCAAGGCGGCCAAGGAGTCGGCAACTGCTCCTCCAATTGCTGGTCTAGATAAAAGTGGATCGACTGCGTCGGTAAAGAGCGGACCAACTGCGGCCGCTAAGAGCGTTTCAACTGCGGCCGTCAAGAGTGCTGCCCTGGCCAAGAAAACCACATCGACCACAGCCCGTTCGAGTTCTTCGGGAGATGCCAATGGGAATAACACTCTGAATCGCATATCCAAGTCCAGTTTGCAGTGGCATCTCGTGAACAAATGGCTGCCACTGTGGATTGGCCAGGGACCCGATTGCAAGGTAGGATTCAACTTTAAACGACCACCAAGGAGACTTACTCATAACTTTTCTTGTAGGTGATCGACTTTAACTTTATGTTTTCGCGTGATTGCGTTAGCTGCGACACAGCCTCCGTGGCCTCTCAGATGTCGAATCCTTATGGCACTCCACGCTTGGGGGGCTTGCCCCAGGACATGGTTCGCTATCAGAGCTCTTGCACTGGATCCTGTGCAGCATCGACTGCTTCCTCTACTATGCGTCGGGATCCAAATGCAGCAGCCCGTCCTCTTCACAGCACCTTGAGTCGTTTGCGTAGTGGAGCCGACAAGCGTAATCCGAATGGAGCGGCAGCATCAAATTATAGATACGAAGATCCCTCGTATGAGAATGTGCATGTTCAGTGGCAGAATGGATTTGAATTTGGACGCTCGCGTGACTACGATCCCACCTACCATCAGCGTCCGATGCTGCAGCGTGCCAGGTCCGAGAGTCCTACATTCAGCAATCAACAGCGACGCCTGCAACGCCAGGCGGCACAGGCACAGCAGCAGGCACAACCATCTGCCGCGAAGCCGGGGGATCCCTTCAAGAACTACAAACTGAATACGGAGAACAATAGTTTCAAGCCCAAGCCGCCAGTTCCAGTGGAATTGCCCGACGAACTCGAGGGCGCTGTGGGCGGTGCAGCTGTGGAAGTGTCTGTCGCGGAGGTCGAAGCGGAACTGCCTGTGGATCCTCCTGTCAATTTGAGTGATAATGAGACTGAGACGACCAACAGTCAAACCAACCCTCAATGCTCTACCACCACCAGCAGCAGTAGTAGCAGCGGAAGCCAGAATAATGTGAATGAACACCACGATTAAGATCGGATAAAGTTCACTTTGGTTTTGAGAGCAGCTTTTAATTTCCTGTTTTATATATTTCATTTTTAATTTTGTGTTCATTTTCTGTCGTCACGCTGCTCCTCTCCTCAAAATTGGATCTCAAAAAATGAAAAATCAAAATCGAATCGACCAAAAAAGCGTTTAAATTCGAATCAAATTTTAAAATTTTTTAAAATATTTATACTTAAGAGAAAAACTTTCCCATGGTAGAATTTGATAGCATTACATATGCATGTATTTATAAGGGGCAACATTTTGTGTAACCAGCCAAAGCTCAAGATCGAATATTATGTTGGATAATGTAGTTGTAGTTCAATGAAGAATTTTTGTGTCATAAGCGCCATATCAAGCACACACTACTCTCTATATATACCATACCACACTATACATGTCCAACACATTCTACCCACAAGCAATATGCATTTAATTATAATTTCACAAGTTCCAAATCATGTTCCACTGCCTAGACAAATTTCCATTGCATCTTAGGGCTGTCCCGTTCCAGCAGTCTTGGATATCCACTCCTTTTGGTTTAATCCATTTACGTATGCTAGGTTTCGGCTTTAAAATCATACAATACTCCACTAGAAAACCTATCTTTTAAGTCAATTAGAATTACAGGTATTATTTACATGCATATACTATATACATATGCCGTAGCACTTATACACCCGCATATACATATAGAAGAATAGAATACTCCATTTATGATTATAATAACCATACTTACATGTGTATTGAGTTTAACTAATTCATAATAAAACTAGTTCAACGAAACACCAAAAAGATGAGCGCTACTCTGTATTTCTGGAAGATTTTTCTTTTTATTTTAACAAACTATTATAAAATTGCATGTTTCGTTCTCATTGCTTTTGTTTTGTTCATATACACAGATAGTACATTAAATATCAATATCATTAATGTCATTAAATTAAAAAATACAATATCTGCCTGTAAGATATACTGGTACATATCTCTCTTTTTTGACCAAGGAATTGTTTTCCAATCGATTTAGCTGGATATGTTCTCGCTATGCCCTCTCTCATACGGATAGACCCAAAAAAGCATCAACATCGATGAGCGCTAATTGAATTTTGATAGTATATACGGGTATCTATGGTAGGTATACGCATATCTTTATAATTTTGTGTGAAAATTTCGTTCGTTTGTTTATATTTTTCTTTTTTTGTTTGTTTGTTTTGGTTTGTGTTTCGTTTCTATGTAATTCGAATATTACGTGAATGCTTATTCTTCACTCTTCATATAGTTATAGTTATCTTGGTTTTTCTCTTGCAATTTCTCGCTATGTCTACAAGCTTCGTTTAAATTGCTGATAAGTTCTTTAGGATTAGGTATAGTATATTTGTTGCCGTTTTCTGTTGTTCTTCTGGTTGCTGTTGTAGCATACTTCGTTTCACCGCCTCGTTCAATGCTAAACTTAAAATGTACACAAGAAACTATCAACTAAACTAGAGAAATGCTTTAAAAAATTAGCCCAGAACTATACAAAAACGCTTTAAGCGCCTCCTCCCTCTTCTCCATAATCCACTCGACTCAATACAGACCTCACGCAAAAAAAAATTATATTTAGCTTTATGTAAGCCCATATCAAACTCCCCCACATGGTGACCCTCTTGGATCTGCCAGCACTCTCGGCCTGAATCCTCGTACGAGGCACTCTCTACTTGGGCAACTCATAGATCTGGACGGGCAACGCTTTTGGCGTGATGATCTCATCCTCAAAGTCCTCGTCATCGCCATGGATGGCATAGTCGCCGCCATTGTGCTCGCTCTCGAACTCATTGGGCACGATCTCCACATCGCTGGGACGGGAAGTGCTGCGCGATCCTCCACCGGAGTCGCCGCCGTTTCGATTCGATCTCGTCTTGGTCGACTTGCTGATGAAGTCGCGGAGTATGTGCGAATAAAGGATGTCATCCAGATAGTACATGGTGCCCAGGTTGTAGACGAATACCTCACTCTCCGTTATCTGGGCATTGTTGACGCTCGTATAGTTGCTGCCCGGGTTCCGAGTGATCTTTATGTGACCGCCGCCGATCGTTTCGTAGACCTCATTATCGCGCAGATCACGGTTGTAAAGACGGCCGCGTACAAAGTGATTTAAGAGCATTTTTATTCCCCGCTGAGAGGCCTAGAAAGTCAGAGGATTAGTAAGCCATATTTGCTTAAATTCGACCACGAATACTTACCATTACCTCATCCGAAAGTCGATCGAAACCAAGCTTCTCAAAGGCCCGATCCTCTGGCACAAAGAAGGTGTAATTGGCTCCTGAGATATGGGGAGCAATCTCTGCGTTGTTCAGATATCTTTTGGGAGGATTGAATAGAAGACATAGCCCAGCATATCTCATATAATAATCCAACAAACTCCTTACCTAGTAATCTGGGTAAAGCGTGGATCTCTTTCCAGGGCCAAAAACGAATGCGACAAGAACTGAGCCCCAAACCAGGGGAATGCCAGCAACGGGGGAGTCTCCTTGTCCTTGTGCATCTGAAGGAGGAGCAATATTACATTAAATCAAACACTAGAATTGGATAAGCCATAACCGGGTTACCTGGTGCAATTTGGAGACGACGGCCTCGGTGACAAAGAGCACCTCCGATATAATGAACACCTGATTGCCGTTGGAGAGGGTGAAGTCGGACATAATGCTGACATTATTCACCGTGGGGGTGGCTATTCAAGGGGGAGCAAATAAGCAAAGAAGCCAAGGAGAAGAATGTTGTCATAAATTGAATTCGGAATATAATTTATGGGGCCACTTACGTTGGCCATGGAAGACGACATCATCACCGCCCATGGTGTGAACGACGACCTCGTCCATGTTCCTCACATCCGATAGTCGGAGGGGCCGCTGCATGGGCAGGAAATGATTGAGCAGCACCGTTTCGGTGAACTCTGGCACACTGAACGGATAGAAGCCCCAATCGATGGGATGCCAGCGCTGGAAGGCATTGTCCGAGGGTATCAGCACCGTATAGGCATTGTCATCCATTATGCGTGTCAGATTGCTTTTCGATAGAAAGTGTTGGAATACTTTTGTGCCTGTCTTCATGTTGGCCAAAAACGACATCAGCGGACTGGCCTTCGACTCCTTAATAATGGGCTCCACTTTGGCATGTGCATTCGTAATGTTCGGCTGCTCCAGCGGCTGGGGGTCGTTGTAGCGGCTATAAGTGGGATGGGCACAGATAGATGTGATATATATATAGATGGGATATATATATGTGTATGTATATGGAGAGATTCGGCCTTTACCAGAGGCGGAAAAGGAAAATCTAAATGTGTGTGTGTTTGTGCAGAAAGTTGGACCAGCAAAAACTTTGTTTGCGGCCTGATAAATTTCGCATGAGTGCACTTTTGACCGCAAACAAACTAGGACCAGGAGGAACTTAGTACTCGCTAGATAGCACCGCACAGTGGTTCGAGATAAGCCCCAAAGCTGCAGTTGCAGTTGCAGGTGCAGTGGCAGCTCTACAGCCCAATCTGTGGTCAAACTTTGAAAGACTTTTGTAGGATTCATCATAAGCTATTTATTTATTGCAGACCTACATAATTATCTCAATACATATTCATCTGTCTGTCAATCTATCTACAATATCAATCTCACTATTTTCCTACAAAGCATATATGGGTGGGTAGTATATGTGGGAGATATATGCATGTGTAACTGATAGATCAACTTTAGCAACCACCAATTTGTATGGCCACCAAAATGCTCCTTATCAAACATGTCCATCTTGAATGAAAAGTATTCACAGTCACAGATTTAAGGAGTTCAGATGGGAGTTGTCCCACTGTAGCGTACCGAAGGGCTGTACTCACTTGTTCGTTTCCTGTATGTTCCGCTTGGAGTAGGGCGACTTCCTATCGCCCAAATAACCATCAATTCCAATGGCCATCAAATTCTCATTGATACGCAGCTTGTAGAGTATTTGCTGTCCATTGAGTAGCCAAACATTGTTGTGGGACTTTTCCAATTTACGAAAAACGATTTTATGTCCGTTCCCATTGCCGTAGGACTCCTCCTCTTCCTTGCTGTTGGCCACACCGCTATAGCTGTCAAAGAGCTTCCCAGGCACCAAATGCTCCAACATGAACTCCTTCAGTCGCGGCTTCTCGATGGTCCGCACATCGATTTTGGGCACAATCAATGTATATGGGATATCTGCAATTAGAATCGGGCCATATACATACATACAGACACACAAATACAAGTACATAAAGTCGGATAGAAGAGATGGGATAGAGAGAGTTACTTGGGGAATTGCTCACTTAAAAATGTAAACTGTTTTCGTTTCATTTACCAGGCTACTCCTGAATCCCCTACCTGTCTGCATGCTAATCAAGTAATTAACTTTCGGCTGTGCTCGGGGCGTATGCCTTTTATTTTTTTTCCTTTTCGTGGGTGTGTACGAGTAATGCCAGACCAGAAGACTACCGTCTCCCGTCTCGGCAGGGGAATATGCTGGGCTAATTATATCATATTATTATGCGACACGCATAAAAATACACATTGTTATGCTGTGCTGTGGTTGGAGGTATTCGGGGAGGTATTCGCAATGATGCCTAATGAGGTAATAAGCTTTTAGGGTTCCGCCAAGTCACTACATTTTTGTACATGCTTTTCTTTCTCATTGCTATTTCATTATTAATCAGTGTAATTATATTTAAATTGGATTTTTCTTTCATAGTAATTCAGATTGTATTCCTCTATTGGTTTTCTCCCTATGATCTCTATCATCTCTATGTAGAAGCTACGTGAATTGTTACTGATACTCCATAAAAAATTCAATTATTACATTAGAAATATTTCAAATATATGAAAGAACTATTCCATTGAAAGATTACACCATCCATTTGCCATGCCTTGCCTATACTCGTAGCCTGTCAATTAGTTAAATGAAGTAGTTTTAGTTTATGATCAGCATTTGGACAGTTGAACGAAGCCATTCATCAATGTCACACATTTTCCCCATTTTGGCCATCTGCGGAGTTGCCAAGTCTTCGAGAACTGTGTATAACCGAGAGCCAGTCTTACCATGTCCTGCCTAACGAGAACACTGCAGCTGTTGCAAGTGCTGACATCGATTTCGGGTTGCAACATCTATAAATACGCT